CGGAGAGCGAGTGCGAAGCGATATTGGGAGTACGTTGCGGACGCCCCCGCACACTAGAGTTGCGTGCCCGCCTTTGAAATTGTCTAGCTAGAGTCTGCTAGTAAAATTGTGTGTACTGGGCTTGCTGACGCTATCATCGTTATAAGTCAACACTCTTACCCGAGGTGTGTGCAATTCAAGCTGCGGAACTAGAAGAACAAGCATCTACGGTACAAACAAGTAGAATCTGCTCTGCCGGAAGAGCGAACAGTGTACTCAACACGTCCAGGCCTGCGGTGTGGCCAGTAGGTCCTGCCTTGGCATGATCGTACAATTGCTAGAACTGTCAACTTTGATATCGCGAACAAATTCAAATACATGCTACTGTCGATCTCCATACGTATCTTACAGTATTTATTACAGCTTGGTGGAGAGAGGGACATTCGATACTGAAGGCCTCCCGTCTACTCAACATGGGCAATCAGTTCATTGAGCTTGACCTTCGCATCCTTCATCTTGACAAAGTCCTCGAAGATAACATTGGTATCCTTCCGGAAGACCAAGCAGTGAGTTGAACCGCCGAAATGGAACATCCCGAGCTGGTCTCCCTGCTTGACCACATTGCCCTCCCTGACAGTCACATCGCACGACGAGACCTCGGACATCCCGACGGCTATGAAGCACATCAAGCCGATCTTCGGGTCGTTCGCTCTGATGAAAACCAGCGCGCGGGCGGCCACCGCGGTGATGAACGCCTGAGAGAGATCGGGCGCGGCGGGATCGGGGCCGCCGTCTGGGTTCTCGAAGCCCTCGAAAGGAGCCTCTGCGTAGTACGTGCCCGGGACCAGGACAATCTTCTCAATTTGGCCGTTGACGGGGCTGTGCCAGCGATGGTAGTTCATAGCACTGAGGAACGCCTGGTACACAGTCCCGCCGACGAACTGCTCTGCGAAGGGGTCGTCGTTGAGCATGTGGTACAGAGAGTAGGGCTGCCCCTTGAGCCAGAACTGATCGCGCGCATTGACGTCGTGCCGGATGCGAAGAACGCCCGACTCGCACGCACTGGTAATAAGAGCGTCGGATTGAGACGATCTGAGGACCTGAGGAGGAAGCGGGCGTTCGCCTGGCAGGAATTGTCTGGTGAAAAAATCATCCCAGGATTCATACCCGTAATGCTCGTCCGGGTTAGGGGACTTAGTAACGAACACCTGATCGAAAGGCTTGCCCAATTCCATTTGTGTGACGGCAGCCTGGCTGAACCACCCATACGGCTCGGTGGTCACCAGGACGTTGCACGACGCCGGGGACTGGAGAAACTTGGTCCATACTCGGAACATTTTGGCGAACATGGCGTTGACCTTGGGGTTGATGAACGTAGTAAAGCCCGAAGTTGTACCCATCGGCCAGTCGAGGATAGCGTTGATCGGAAAACCAATCAATCCGTTTGATTTCGTGAGGTCGGGGTTAACGTAGTATTCGGGTGCCTTCTTAATCACATCGTTGAAAAGCCTCAACATCGTCATGTAATCGCGGACCTGTGAACTATATTGTGAGGTTCATCGACATGGTAGTTATACGCGACAAGACGTACTTGTGGTTGCAGACCGGTAGGATCGTTGTTGTAAGGAGGCTTGGCGGGAACCTCATCGAACATACGATGGAACCCTTGATAAATTTCTGGGTTATTCTCGATAAGCTCCTGAAACTCCGTAATGACGGGGTCAAAAACGCCATCGAACGTTTCAAGAGCCTTGATCTTGTCGGCGAGCCATGCTCGTAAGACTGAGTGGTCCTGAGGTAACCACCCACCGACGCGATGAGCGACGAAGAGTTGAGCCATATTGATCTGAGGAAAGTGTCAATACTCTGACAGATGTGCGCAGGGAAGTACTCACCGATAACTCGAATGAAGGCGCGGTACTGATCCAGATGCGAGCTCTCCGTCTGCTTATATGCGTCCTGAGCTCAGGGCGTCAACCTACACGAGGGTTGTGATAATATTGTGACAATATTCATTATTTATATTCAATGTGTCAGGCAGCAAGCAGGGAAGTTGAAGTTGTCGGCTCAGTATCTGAGAATGTCGAACTAAACACTACTCCGATCACATAGAACACTTCGAACCCCAAGTCGAGCCCCTCCCATTGTCGATAACGCACAAGAAGCTCTCAGAAGAGGTATGCAGATGGTGCGCTGACGCCACCCCACTCGGCCTTCGGCGAGGGAAAAGGCAGCCGTCGACCTTCAGAAGGTTCAGCGGTTGACGTCGCTAGTACCCAAAAGAATTGAGTAGCCAATTGCAATCAAGGCGATTCACACCTTTCAAATTCTATCCGTCACATTGAAGTAGCTATATTCCCTAGTGATTGATGGGCAAGGGACAGTCAGGGTTTTGATGCCACAGATGAAAATCGATGCCACATAGTAGTAATTGTAATGGGTCCTACCATTCCTATCGTATGAAGCTATACCGCTGGAATTTGGCACCTGTGAAGAGCTCTATACCCTCCCTTTGACTCCAATCTTTGGCTCCAGATATCGCTATCTCCGGCCGAACAAGCACACCGCCAATTCTTAATCCTGCACGATTGAAGCGAACAGTAGCTGATAAAGGAGCATGAGGTAGTCAGTTGAGCAAGATGAAGGCACCAGTAGAATGTTATGCTCCTGGGGCATGAGAAGCAGGCAATACGGAGCAACACGATAGAAGCGAAAACTAGTGAACCAGCTGATACTGAACCCTGCTCAGCGAACCAATTTAGTAGTAATGAAGGTCGCATGCAGCGAGTTCAAACGCTCTAGGAACATCAAGACACGAAGATGCATGCTGATGAGAAAACGTAACTGACCTCTCAAATCCCAATGCTGGTCGGGGTGTATACAAAATTGCGCCGAGCTCTATCTGCACGGATGACGCGAAGGCAACATGTCTGGGAATGAGACCAGATGCATGACGCAGAGTTGGGTCCAAGCTGCTTCTTCTCGCCTCCAGCATCCAACAAGTCAACAGGCTAGCATGTTGCCAGTGGAATACAAATGTATGCTGCCAGGAAATGGCGATACAACCGCCGAGCGTTAACATCAAGTTGATATCTTGGACTCGACTGTCAGAAGCGTGTTCACTGGATGTTTGTGTCGTGCTTCCCCTGCTCTGGAGGTAACCCAGATATGCGCCAGATGGTAGCTTTGGTACTCTGCATGCTGTAGAGTCAGGTCAAAGTGGAGTAGGTCTCAAAGACACCAGCGGGGCTGTCAAGTTGCGCGAGTCTTTGGACGTCTGCGAAATGTTTAGATATTTTGATTTGTCGATCACGCGCAAATCACGCGCCGTGCGGGGTGACTAGGACTGTTCAAACTTCAAACGTCCTGTTCACTGAACACAAATTTAACGTTCCACAAGTATCAAGTATATAGACGAATCAATATCTCGGAAACACACTCATCTGATCTGCACAAGAACGAGCATTTCAGCGAATCAACATTTCAGAATATGTGCAAACGTAAATCGTCCGGTTCTAAATCAAAGTCAGATCAAAGTGCACTACAGGACATGACCGACCCCGCAACAATCGCGTAGATATCAGACGTTCGTAACTCAGAACCTAACTTGTGAAGTATATTTGATAATCTGACGGAACACCAGCCTCTTTGTAGGATACGGCTGCAAAAGATGTATCAGCAGCGTGAACACGTTCTTCTCGGATATTCTCACTTGTGATCGCTGGCGTAGAATCAAAATCCCAGATTCCGTATGGATACGACAGGTTACCGCTGTCCCCAATAGTCGACCCGCTGGCGGAGACCCCAATGAAGGCGATGGACAAGTTCCCCGTCACACTATCATTTGTCAAAGACTTTTCCCATTACTAGTTAGGTTCTTTGTTCAGTGTTTTATCCGATGACTGACATACCCAATACTGCACAAGCTGCAGCGAGCTGTCCTCATACAGACACTCATCGTTGAGGATGAGATAAGGCGACCCGGCTACAGTAGGGCCTCCAGTGGTTAGGCAACTGTCTGTCTGGGCACTGTCGACAATAGCAATATGGCCGTAGCTGACCGTCGCAGTGCCATTACTGGTTGTCTGGTAACCCATGAAGGAGCTATCACCTGATGAATACAAGATGGTGATCAGCATTCGCCCTAAAATCCAAACGATGCTGCATAGAGCATGAGCTTACATTGCTGGAAAGCGAATTCGATCGATGAGTCGGATTCTAGTGCAAGAAAGGCGCTAGCTTGGGACGTGTACTGAAACCCGGCTGGTATTCCCGCTGGAAAGGTTTTGGACGTCCATAGGAGTCCTCCACTGTATATCGTTTCGCATGATACGTCTTCCCTATTGACGAGGGGAGTCGCTAGGACAGAGACCGCAAGGGAGACGAGCGAAAGAACAGCCAGCATTACGTCGTGCTAGTGAGTGTACTAATCGCTTGAAGCAAGACAACTTTTTGCGAGAAGGTAAGTGTCAATCAGGATTCACCCAACCTTATATACGTCTCTGGTACTTTGAGACTCACAGGCTGGCGTTCCATGTCCGAGAAACTCAACGGAGAATCGTGTCTTGACAGACCGAGGCTAATCTTTGATGGGCGATGACAGTCGAGGTACGACTCTGAACTGCGCAAATGCCGCCCTCAGCTGACTCAGGATTGACTGGATTTCACTGTTTAAGCTTCACGACTGCGACCTGGGGATACATCCATTGGTGTCAAAACGTTGGCTCAATCAATGTTCTGCCAGTCGAGTATCTGTCTTCGAGACTGGACGAAGAGTGTCGATTTCTGTGTTGCAGGCTTCGCGTACAAACGCTCACCGGCGTGACGTTGTCTGCGCACCGCAGGCCGGCAGCAAATTGCGAACCTAACGGGATCTCAGTGACGTTGACATAAAGGCAATGCTGATGTGAAGATTAGGCATCATTTCTTTGCGGTCCCGTTTGCTGTCCGAGCGCGTCATTTTCTGACAGTTGAGGTATTACTTACACCTGGCTGAGACTCCGTCCACTCCATTCAGAGGGGTACTTTGATATGTAAGTATGTCCGATCGTCTATCGTCTACGTATATTGAAACAAAAAGGCTACAAGCTGTACCACTCCACCGCATTGTCGAACGTTGTACTAAATCGAAGCCGTTGTCGTGTTTGTACACCAGGCTCCTTCACAGATGCGACTAGCAACCAATAAGTGCGTGAAAGTGTACGCTTTGATATGACAAGCAAATCTTACCTGATACTATTTGGAGATCATCGATTAAACGATACCAAATCGCATAAGATAGGTTTCCGCTGTTATTGATGGTCAAGCCATCTGCAGAAACCCCGACAAAATCCAAGATAAGCGATCCCGACAGGCTCGCGTTCGTCAGAGACTGAATAAGTTGTGGTGAGCAGACATTAGGTATTATGTTTAGATGTTGCATTCACCCAATACTGTTCCAACTGTGAAGCATTGTCCTCATGGCTGCATTCGCTACTTCGAATGAGGTATGATGAATGAGGCTCGGAGAAATTGCCAACAGTAAGGCAGCTATTTGACTGGTAACGGATGGCAATATGGCCGTAGCTGGTCGTCGTAGTGCCGTTGGTCGTGGTTTGGTAGCCCATAAAGGTGCTATTACCTCAATCATGCATTCCGCATTAGCTCTTCCGTACTTGATGATACAGTGGAAAACCAACTCACATTCTTGGAAAACAAATTCGGGCGACAGCTGCGGAGAATTGATCACGGAGAGCAATGCATTTGGTTCGGATACATTCCAGGGGTAATCAAGCTGCACTGGGTGCCCATGGAAAGGAGGCATAAATCCCACCAAGAGCTTGCCTACATAGATGGTGTTACAAGAGACATTGTCCCGCGTGGCGAGTACGCCTACGGCGATAGATACCTCGAAAAAAATGAAAAGGAAAACTCCAAACATCTCTCTTGTAGGTGCCTATTGGGAAGTCAAGTCGGTGCTGAAGTGGGCAATTGTCCCTCGTTCGATATTTGAGTTTATATCTATGGACACAGCGTCTTGAAGCGTGATAGAGTCCATCTGTTGATATCATGTCAAATGTCAGATCTAAGTTTCGTATTTTATGCCTCTTGATACTAGTACCATCCACTGGCAGCTACGAAGAATGTACTGATTACACGACAAGACGGGTACGAAGTTTACATCCTACTAGGACCATTGTTGGGCTCAATCTTTGTCGAGTTCCTTACCAATCTGCAACTTGAAGTTGTCAAGGTGCGGTTCATCATGATCACTGTTCACGACTGCTGTGTAGTATACGAGCCGGGAAGTCGATCATAGTCTGATTTTATGTTGCGATGAACATCGCTAACATAGATACAACCGTCAGCACTACTGATATCACAGCCGGTATTGATCAGGGCGAGCTGATGTACAATGTATGTGACACTGCATACGTACCGTGAGCTTAACGGAATTATCATCATCGAATGCACTGCATCGTCGCCTCAATACTTAGATCTCTTAGTCTGTGGACAATGTGAATCACGCAGTATAGAACAATACTTGTGGAAGCTGGCTGCTGTTGCTTCACTATAAAACTCACCCGTGATGGAACATACTCAATTGCCGAAGCCAATGTTCCTCGAAGAGGTCCAACCACAGGATACCTCTTGAGCATGTCACAACTTTTGACTCTAGATAACAAGGCTCTTCATACTTCAGGTCCAGGTGAATGGGTTATTGAATTGGACCATAAGGTTTCCATAATCCGCACGCGATGATAACTAATGTGTCGCCGCAAGATCTTTGAGGATTATAATAGCGAAACATATTGAAAACTTAGTTCCAGGCCCAAGACTAGTTAAAAAAGCGCAGCTCGTACGGTGACGTGGCATTAGGCTCCGGCGAACCCACAGCTAGGAGCACAGCAGTCAGAAAAATGCTGTACAAACATTAGAACGAATTCAAAATACCCAAAATGGCCGATTGATTTTGGTAGGAGCCAATGGCATAGTAGTACGACAAATCGTCCTCGTAGTTTAAAGCTGTCCCGTTGGCAGTGACACCGACGAAAGAGACTGATAGTGTGTTCGATAGAGTGTCGTTGGTTAGAGCCTGTACGGCAAATCCACGTCAATTTTGAGTTTCCGATCAACACATACGCAAGAGAAACTCACCCAATACAATTCTTGTTGACTAGAATCATCGGTATAGTAACAAGCTGAATTCATTGCAATGAGGAATATTCCGCCAAAGATGCACGAGTAGGCCTCTTCTGCGACGGGAACAAGATGTCCGTAACTCGTCACCGTTGAGCCGTTGAACACTGTGTGATAACCCATGTACTCGCTATCACCTACAGGACTGTAATCAGGTCGGATAACTCAAGACATGTTGAGCGCACGCACAACGTTGGAACTCAAATTCCGGAGCGACACCTCCCTCTACGAGGACCGCCTGATTGGTATCCCAGAAGTACAAAGAGGCATTGACACCGGCGGGATTGAGCGGTGCAGCGGTTTGGTTGGTAGAGAATAGCCCCAGAGGGCCGGTGTGTATGGTCGTGCAGTTGATAGTGTCCCGACGGTTGAGGGCGGCAGCGGAGGCACATAAACCCAGAGACAGTATCAACAGAGGGGCGAACATGACTACGACTCAGAATTAGTCTGTGAATCACCAGTGCCTTGCGCACCATCAAAGGCTCATCTTTATGCTTTCTTCTTCTGACATCGGATCCTGACATTCGCACTTCAAGCCTTCAGGAACATGTACAGGTGATCCAGAACATCTCGGGCTTATACTGCCGTGTGAGGATGTCCGACTTGGCAACATGACGTTATGATGGCAGTATCTAGGACTGTCGAGTCCAGCTTTGCAGGGAAGGGTAACTTCATCAAACCAATCTACCGCGAGTAAGCGAGAGTCGATGAGGCAGAAGCTCCGAGTGGCTGTGCATGAGGATGGGATAGTGTATGTTTTCGACAGCTCACCACCAGTGCGGCGTGGTGTGCCCGAACCCCAATAGGTTGAGGTGAAAACTAAAGAGGAATAGAATATGGACGCACCCAAATCACACCACAGTTAGTCTTTGGAGGCAATTGGTGACATGCACTCGCCCACACTTGTGACTATTAGAGTATCCCATCTATGCAAGCTGCACTACATGGGACGCGCAGCGCTCTGCCCGGCTAGAGTCGGAGCTGGTGGCTTTGGAACTCGGCGCACAGGACGAACGCGCGCACGACGCGTCGAGTAACTTATGTTTGTCACGGTCACGACAGTACGCGTCCAAACGGTCGCGCGTCGCGTCTCGTCGCGCCTCAGCTTGCGCAAATTCACCACCTCAGCCGACATTCGCATGGGAAGGCAGCAAACCCTCGGTAGTTCCTATGCTTCAGGCACGTAAATACTGAATTAAATCGGTGTGGCAGGCAAATTCTTCGAAATGCCCTCGAGTTTTAAGCCAGCACCCCCTCAGCAATCCAAACTCGAGGAGGCGTGGGGTAGTAAGTCTAAGCGGGAAGAACTAGTTCGTGATGTGAAGAAGGAAGTTGTTTCCCGGAGCGCGGAGGACTTAGGTATGTCCTGCGGCCGGCTTCACGCAATCATCGAGTAAAGCTCTGGTTTGGCAGAGGGTTCGGGGAAGCGTAAACAGTCGCCGCTCCATCCAGATGGTGAGGTTCCGCAGTAATGCTCTCCACTTCTAGGTCTAATTCGTCAATTAGTATCCAAAGCACAGCAGCCGAGGCTGAAGAAACGTCGAGTGGTAGACTCAGATGACGAGGATCGACCATCAGGTAAGTGGGTCCGCTCTTATTCGTTGTACTCTTCGCCTTATTTGAAACACAGCACCAGTACCAGCATCTCCCGAGTCTAAGCCTGCCCCTGCAGACTCGCGTAGCGATACTGATGCACCTGTAGCGTCAGAGCGCACTTCGCGTAACATAGAGGCCCGCACTGAGGCAAAATCAGCGAAGTCTAGAGGGAAGCAGGTCGTGCGATCCGATTCAAGTCCAAAAACCATAGCTCCGGAAGAAGAGAGTACGTCGTCAGATGCTGATGGCGGTGAGGGTGATGATGCGGAAGAGCTCGAAGAAGAGGAAGATGGTGCTGCCTCGCAGAAGTATGATAAAGTCCTCGATGTTTCTTCGACACACTCATGTGATTTCTTTAGTGCTGAAGCCGCACTCTCACGAACGAAAGAAGTAGACATCCCCGGGGGCTGGGAAGTTGGCGAGCCGTGTGTCTCTGAATTTCCGCAAGCTAGAGACGCTATGCTAATGCTCTACGTAATAGCATCCCGTATGCTGCACTTACGAAAGTGTTCTCACTTATCGAGGCCACGACGAAACGTTTAGAGAAGACGGCCCTATTGACCGCTTTCTTTCTGCTAGTGATCCAGCGGAGTGCCAAGGGAGATACAGAATCTATGCTACAGGCAGTCTACCTTTGTATAAATCGTGTGAGTGATGTATGTCGTGATGGGTGGTTGGACTTATGATATCCTAGTTGAGCCCCGACTACATCGGCATTGAGCTCGGAATTGGTGAGAGCCTGCTCATCAAAGCCATTGGTGAATCGACCGGTCGCAGCCTCGCCGTTGTAAAATCAGAGTTGAAGAAGGAAGGAGACTTAGGCCTTGTGGCGATGGTTGGTTCCACCGTTAGGATTTGTGCGAGTCGCATCGCTTGACATGTGTTCCTAGAACTCGAAGAACAGCCAGAAGACGCTCTTCAAGCCCAAACCGCTGACGGTCCCTTTTGTGTTCACGAATCTCAAAGACATTGCGCTTAGCACTGGACACTCGGTTAGTCCCGTCTACCAGGCCGATGTGATAATTTGATTAAGAATGCGGTCGTCAGTCGCAAAATAAGAAAGTCTCGATCATCACGAAACTCCTTGCTGCGTGCCAAGGCTCCGAAGCAAAGTATATCGTCCGAAGTTTGGAAGGTAAACTTCGTATAGGAAACGCAGAGCGAACTGTGCTGGTAGCTCTCGCACATGCCTTCGTGCTAGCTGAGCAGGAGCGAGGTACGTGTGTTTCATTCACGTATAATTGTGGAGTTTTGAAACGCCCACCTAGCGAACAAGAAAATCAACAGCGAGAAGCTCACAGCCCGGCTAGAGGAGAGTGCGAACGTTGTCAAATCTGTTTACAGGTATGTTTTTCTGGTTCTCGAATACATCGACTGCTACTGATAAGCATTATAGCGAGCTTCCGACCTACGATCTCGTTGTACCTGCTCTTCTAGAAGCTGGCATTGATAAACTCCGAGAGAAGTGTAAACTCACGCCAGGTGTCCCGCTCAAACCTATGCTTGCCAAGCCAACCAAGGCGATTGGGGAGGTACTCGACAGATTCGAAAACAAACGATTTACTTGCGAGTATAAATACGATGGCGAACGTGCTCAGGTATGTATTATTGATATCTGTGATCAACAGCGTCTCAACTATGTTGTGCATAGGTTCACAAGCTGGAAGATGGCACGGTCGGAGTCTTCAGCAGGAATTCTGAAGATATGAGCAAGAAATATCCTGACCTCATGGAACAACTCCCTAACGTAAGTCTTGTATGCCTCCGCTTCCTCAGATGATGTAGCAAGGGCTATTCGTCAGTGCATCAACGAAAGCACAAAATCCTTCGTTTTGGATGCTGAAGCAGTCGCGATTGACAAAGACACGGGGAAATTGATGCCCTTCCAAGAACTCAGTCGTCGGAAGCGTAAAGATGTCAAGGTGGAAGATATCAAAGTCCGCGTCTGCCTGTTTGCTTTCGACCTCCTTTATCTGAATGGCGAGGTACGCTGCAGAGTTACCAGATTCGCGCTGCGAGCTGATATAGCCACTCGACCAGCCTTTGCTGCAGAAATCCCTTGCCGAGCGTAGGCTGCTGCTGCGAGACCATTTCCAACGCGTGCCTGGAGAGTTTGACTTTGCAAAGTCTTCTGATTGCGAGACGACCGAAGAAATTCAAGCGTTCCTGGAAGAGAGCGTGAAGGACGGGTGTGAAGGTCTAATGGTCAAGATGTTGGAAGAGGATCCTAGCTTTTATGAACCTAGCCGAAGAAGTGTCAACTGGCTGAAAGTACGTACCATATGGTACAGAAGCATGTACCGCCTAAGGCTGATACATGTTATCCTCGATAGCTCAAAAAGGACTATCTTGCTGGTGTTGGCGACTCACTCGATCTTGTGGTGGTGGGTGCGTACTATGGGAAGGGCAAACGTACGAATGTGTACGGTGCATTCCTTCTCGCGTGTTATGATGCAGACGCGGAGGAATATCAAACTATCTGCAAGATTGGCACAGGATTCAGCGAAGAGGCTTTGCAGGCACACCACGATACGCTTAAACCACTCGAGACTACGAAGGCACGGGCCGACATAAAAATTGGCGGTGCGAAGCCGGACGTCTGGCTTGAGCCAAAGGTTGTGTGGGAGGTGCTCACAGCCGACCTGAGTCTGAGCCCCATATATACTGCGGCACAGGGATTGGTATGCATTACATGCATGTATTGTCGTTTTTTGGCTAACGCCCCAGCGTGCAGGTTGAGGAAAGAGGAATATCGTTGCGATTCCCAAGATTCATCAGAATCAGAGACGATAAATCCGCCGACGATGCGACCGGGCCAGAGCAGGTGGGTGCTGTAAGGCGTACGTCGTATGGCGCTTTACTAAAATTCATATCCAGATTGCGGAGATGTACGAACGACAAGCACTCGCGCAGACCAAAGGAGGCAAAAAGAAGGGCGGCGGCGACGCAGATGACGGGTTTTGGTAACGTAATGGTGTTCAGTCACGATCTGTCGAGTCAATATGTGTTCATCATAATGTAATTAGTAAACCAGGATATCGGACTCTGCCACGGATCCAAACGACCCTGAAGGATGGTCTATTTTGCAACTATGTCCTTGTCTGACTGTGCCTTTTCTCTGCCACCCATGTACCAATAGTTTATGAAACGGCCGCCCTGGACGGTCTGCGCGGTCGCATTTGTTGCGTGACAAGCGAAGAGCAAGTAATTTCGTGGTTGCACACGCCAAGCTGTGAATTTTATGTTAAGCAATGTGCATGTATTAGAGCGAGTTCACGCACCAAAGCGCATGAAGACCATACTACGAATACGCTGTCAGTGATACAGAATGAGGTGCGTCGAGTTAGACGCACGAATAAGAAGCAAGGGCGGTTGTCATTGCCCCCGAAATAACGTCCTCATCCTTCTTCAGGTCGGCCAAGGCAGCCAGCGGCAGTCCCCAGTTTGCGACCTATTGTTCGAGCGCAGATTTGAGTAGAGTCCTGTGTTTAACCTGCTGCACGCACCGGTCCCCAGAAGTGGGTGCCTGCAGACTGGTTAGAGGTGGGTTGTGCGAGGACGAGAAGACTTACTGAAGAAGTATTCACGAGCAGCAGGAGAGCGCAGCCAGGTAAAGAACGTCGACGCCATGGCCGAGAGAAAGATGGAGTCAGTGGAGAGCGCAAGTGACTGAGCGAGGGCCCGAGGAATGGCGCGCGGGAGACGCGTGAGAGCGTGGTTTGTCACAGACGACGGCCTCAAGACGCTTGCCGTCTCTCCTCCTCGTGGGTCACTGGGTGCGTCCCTGCTGCTCGGACTATCCGAACATGATTTCTGCTGCCTCGGTGTGCATGAACGGCATTTGTATCAACCTGGACGGATGCAAAGATCTCGCTCTTTGCGCGTGCCAAGTCCCACATGTCCCCGCGTCTACTTGCACCGCGCACACAAGACCTGCCTCCGAGGCCTCGTTCACCTGCACGTTGCGGCGCTTCGCACTGGCCACTTAGTCTTATTTTCCCCCGTCATGCCTCTTCTGTTTCGCACTGTACCCACCCCGCCACCGCACCATGCAAGCTTATCCCAGCAGTGATCAGGGCTACTATCCCCCTACTCAGTACGCCCAGCCGCAGACAACCTACTACCCGCAATACACACCCTACCACCCATACCTTCCCCCACAGCAGCCAGTGGCTCCGCAATATTCGACGTATTCCGCACAATATGACCAGTCGCCGCAGTACCCTACGCCAGCACCGGCAAGGAGGAAGCTGAGCCGTGGAGCATCTACAGGTGGTGTCCCGACAACCTCCAACCGTCCAGGCACTCCAGGAGCCCCCCGTAGGTCTGCAATGAAGAAACATGGAGACCGAGCTCCATCTGCCAGTGCGGTTTCACTCTCCAGACAAACCAGTGCCTCCGATGCTCGTCAGAGGGTCAACTCCCTCACTCGTCCCCGCTCAAATTCTGCCTCCCATTTTCTTCCAGGTGCGTCGATCACCAGCCTGATTGCGCTTCCATTTGACTTGGGATATGACTGTTCCTAGATCATCTTTTTGTATCGTTCATTGGTTCCAACGAACTCCGTGTGGAGAATATATGCTATCAGACCACACTCGATGGGCTTCGCGAAGCTATCCTTCCAATGTGGCCTCAAGGCGTCTCTTTTCAAGACAGCCGCGGTCACGGTTGGCGTGTTCAATTCGCAGGTAGCCCTTGGACGAGCACAAGAACAGATGCAATACTGTAAGCTGCCAGTTTTGAGCACGAGTCATAGCTGTGATTTACCTTGAGATGTGCGCGTCCCCAGTGCACAACGATTGATTTGCCGCCTCTATATGATCTTGGCTAAACAGGTTTGCCTCGCTCACTCTTTTACATCGTCCTTGATTTTTTTTGACGCATTGCGCAGGGATATTCATATCTTACGACGGTTCAAACGGGCTACACCGTTGGTATTAATTGCTGCATTCCAATTTCAACCCCATCTGATACTGGTGACTGCAGCCGCAGCCTCCACGAATGATTTTCGTCGACTCGATACCTGACCTCGACGTGGAAGTGTTTCTGATAACTTTCTCTCGCTCAAAGCTGAGACTACGACTCCTGGATGCGCCCCCCGGTATCGTGCAACAACTTGAGGCCAGCTTGCGCGCTGTTTTTCCGCGGAAAATCTCATCGCATGCTGAGCATGAAGACGGCATTCATGTCATTGAGGTCAAGCGAGAAGGAATCCGGCGTGAGTTCTCGCGGGCACGTTGCATTGCTGTTGTTAAGATTTGCTGCTACTTTCTAGCGCGAGATCAGGACAAGAATCTCTTTCTTGCATGCGTGTTACGATTATTGAATACTGTGGGTTTCAAACTCGACGGGAGCATTCCCCTGGGCAAGAGGGGACCATTTGGGTTTGGTCCACGGCAGGAAGCTTGGATATTCAGAAGCACGATGCGGCAGTTGGATGGCCGTCAGAAGTCATGATGTTCGCTCATTCCGATCTCACATGATTTTATGGTACGCGGCGCAATCTGCCTCGATGCTAGAGTGCTAAGCATGATCTTGATAGATAACGGCGTTGAACGATGTATCCTCATGCACGATATGATCAGACTGTAGTTGATGTGCATGAATAAATTGATAAATACCCGCAATGAATTGTCAGGGATGTTTATGCTTTGCTGGCGCCACGATGATGGAATCAATCCTCGCAGAAATCTTGTTGAGGACACCGCATTTTGAGTGCAATGGTAATGGCGCATTACGTCAAGCTTCGAAAAAGTATTACACCTGCCGAGGTAATGAATTTCCATGCATTCAGCAACGGACTGGCCATTCTGATGCAATGGATCGAGCAGTTCGGCAGGGTCTTACAGTTGAGAACAGAGCCATGGATGGCAACCAAATCCACTGAGCATTGGACTTCTGGCCCTCACAACCCGCGAAATGCATCCATGTTTACGGCGCAGACACTGGTTTAGATAAGGCAGTGTCAGCGGTCGGTCAGTCGGTTCATCTCGTGCTGTTTGGCTGATGCGTAATAGTTGGGTGGGAGCGTTCCGTGGATGGGGACTATCGCACCAAAATCATAAGCGAATCCTTCTGCTTCAGAACCATGGACATGTTTACCCCATTTGCAAGTTGTATTGCCTCATGTGTGTCCGATAAGGCAATGCGTTTTTTTTGAAATGCAATTTCATAGACTACGCTAATGTGGGTCTAGAGGTGGTTGTGAGTCTGTTCGAAGGTGAAGTGATCGAATTTAGGCTTGTGAGCGGGGTCCGGAGGTCTCGCACAGCATTCACGAATGTGCCAATTGTTCATAGTGATGTTTGGACGATACAGATCAAGATACCTAATGCTCACAACGACGAAAACGACAACGAAGATCATGGAATAATTGGGATGGGATCAAAACAGGTCCATGACGAGGTCAGACGAAGCTATCCATCGGTGTGCCCTCGCCCTGCTCGCTATGAATTTCAGTTCGGTTTGGGCTTCGGACGGACGATGGCTGTAGGTTTGATTGGCCGACCCCTTGGGATGAATTCGACATCGTCGCTGTCGGTCGTATGTCAGTCCTGAATTACATTGCTCAATGGAAATCTATGATTTACTCATCATCCACGGGTGTGCTAAGGAGCAAAGCTTTAGCAACCCGGATGTGATTCGTAATAAATTGGTTCACGAACCTGGGCGTCGGTATCCGCAACTCCTCGCCTTCCGGCGTAGTGGGGCTGCTCTTGAATTCATCGTTCAAGTCTATAGCCTCATTGGAAGCAGAGATTGAGAGCCTAGAAAAGGGTGAGTCTGAGAAGCGGCCCATGAATCAAGTGACGCAACGGTAGCACGATAGGGCTCGATGGCATGGCCGACATGGAGCGGGGTGGGAGGATGCGAAGTTGCAATAAGGGACTCCGGTTGTGTTGTACTGCGCGGTGAGCGTAGTTTGTGTCTTATCGTCTCATCGTCGCAGGTATTTATACCGCACAGAGGTCTTGTCACTCTCCAGCATGCAGTGCTATTCGTACTCAATGCGGCACCCCAACGTGTGCTGCACCCAAACCACAACCCTCGAGTAGCGCACTGCTTTACAGTGCCTTGTTTCTAATGCAAGGACTATTGTACTCGGGGGTCCGAACAGCCTGAGGTTCGTCCGTAATCTTCCGATCCTCACAGCATTGTACAGACCTCATTTTTGAAATGAACTTCCATCGCTAAGGGTTTATCCAGATACGAGGCAAAAGTCGAGTGGCGGTAATGTCACGTCTTCGTCCACTGCTCTCATCATCCATAGTCGCTACCTGTACACATTTGACAAATGTGTACAGGCGAAGTACCCCATTTGAGCTTTTCGGGAGTAGGTGTATCTAAAGTTACGGGCGGGTGTGTAAGAGTCCTCTCAATTTTGCGCACTGCACCACATCTAGTCACGAGGCGGTTCACTACCATTGTTCGACCCGCTTCTACTTGGCCTTAGTGACGGCATACTAGATCACCCGCAGGACGAGTCGCACTTTGAACAAAGTCTGCGTTGCAAATCAGGCAGGGGTTGTGAGGAGATGCGTCTCACGATCGCGTACGTTACTCGAGTGCTCATTGAAATGTCAGCTGTCAGCAGAAATACAAAGGCCTGAACGCGACTGGGAGACAATCACGTCATATGCTAACATTGCAAGCAGCCATTAGCAACGCGGAGTATGCGTCAAGGTACTTTACCAATGTGCTCAATTTGTGTTCTTAAGGACAAGACCAGGCAGTACATTTGCTGCTAATCGGGCCTGTTACGGCATGCGTACCATTGTATGATGGAGCGATGCGCTATAAAATTGGCGCAAGATCTCAAGAGGACTTGGCTCCCGCCAGGGTCGGGTCTTTTGAATAATTCGGAAACTTACATGGCCAATGGCTGACCGCGCATTGGATCTGTTAGAGGCTCTCCACCGCCGTCGACCTTGAACCTAAACATGGCTCGCGGAATCTGTTAGAGAGTGAGGACAATATATCATGCGTGCGCGAGTTAATACTATAGCCTGGTGAGTATTCAAGTTGCTCAGAAAAGCACCCATCATGATAAGCCAGTGTTCCTCGGATCGCACAGCTCTACGACGAGACTAAACTCAAATGCATCTCCCTTTACATATGGACAACAGCTCAATACACTTATCAACGCCCAACAGGACATAGGCACAGGACAGTATTAGCTGACCTTCGTACACTCCATCACGAACTTTCCTGGTGCTTAACCGCACCGGTCGGTTGAATCGAGTGAGGCCGCTTCAAAAGGCCCCGTGAAGGCTGCCTGGCAGAATTGGAGGGCTGCGTATTCGACGGTGTAGTCTGTGCGGAAGTGGGAGAAGCATGTGGTTGCGAGGGTGCCTGCGAAGTCTGAGTTGTTGCATTGGGTGGTCGCGCATTCGAGGAGGAATTGCGACTGGGTGCTGTCGCACTATTTCTTGGTACAGCACCGATCGTCTTTGTGGGTCTCCCCCTCGAACGTAGATCGTCATCGTCATCGTCGTCGTCGTCTGAGAACTCGTCCCCGCTGCTCGAAGAGTCCCGATCATCGTGGTCACTACAAATCAAATGTTAATGGTGCCGGTGGGTCATGTGTAACGACCAAGCGTACTCATAAAATCGACCCGTAACTCCCGTGCGCGGGCTACATTGCTGTGAGCTGATAGCTACCAATAACAGCATAGGTACTCACCTTGATACAGGAGAGATGTTGTTCGCTATGCCATCCTGAACGTCGTCATTCTCATCCGCGGTGCTGATAGTACCGGCTGCGTCCACCTGGTGGCTGGGGGGAACGACTGAGCTAGACTGAATACATGTCATACCATGACAAAACTTACACGGGTAGTACATCCGATGTATTGCTGAGGTGAAGGGGTTTATCTAGGGCAGCTAACGAGGGAGTAACGTCCATGCCGTCGTTTGTGCTGTATTGAAGATGTATGCAACCTGAATGGTTAGTAACGTCACTGCGATTCACGTTGGCCTATATATGTGCGTTCAGGGTATACGTTGGCTGTGTCTGAGCGGCTGCGAATAGACGAATACCAGAGTAAGACGGACAGCCTTCATTAGCACCGTCGTGCCAATGACGGCGCTTACCTGTGCTGATTGAACCACACAGTGCCAGACGCGTAAAAAGACCCGTCCTTATGGCAGAGGGAGGCTGGAAGGACCTAAACACCCTCATGCATCTTGCCCACCGTTGGCGGAAATGAACGGGGGGCGGTGTTTGTTGCCTCATTGAGCCTTCGCAACAGATGCTCCCAAGTGTCAATGTCCTACCACTGTGGTTGGATTGCTGCACACGCTCTCTTCGCCAACGATTCTTCTGTTCGGGGCATGCGTCCACTCAACATTCTAACGAGGCAGACTTCCGCAATGACTTCGTACAGCGGTAATCATCAGCTCACCTAATACAATGGCGTTGTTTGGTGTGCGACGGCGAAACAATTCTGTGTCTAAAATACCATTTGAATTATGTGATATCGAAAGTATCTCCCCTACGCCATGCATGTATGACGAGGACGCGGTATGCGCTTCGGAGTCACTCCTAAAAGTAAAAGGTTACACCATCTTGACAACCTTACTGCCGTCTGCAACTCCAGCGAGACTCTTTGCATAAACTTTGCCGCTGGCGTCCTTGCGGCTAAGCAGCTCGTCCCACCAGCCGAAAAGGAAGTCCCGCGCGATGAGCTTGAACCAAGGCGTAAACGAATTCGCTAAACCGAAGCATAAGCGAAATCAGACGCAGTACAAGAAGGATAATACCTGGATCATCGAACATCGCCTGCAGTTCAGCCTTGTTCACATACTTATGATCGCGAATCTCGTTCAGGTTGGGCTTGACGGTGACATTCGCCGTCAAGAAGAGAATATAGTCAACTGGTAGGGTACGTGAGCCTGCAGCTGGGACGAATACAACGCGTACTTACCTTCATGTTCGCCCCATGTACCGTTTGACGGCGCCAGGTAATGTATGCGGGTCAAGTACTGAAATTCGTCAACCGGTGTTTGCTCCTTGGGAATTCCTAGCTCGTGTTCTAGCTTGCGAGATGCGGCGATGCGAACGCCCAGCTGGTCTTTCTCGACCTTCTCCTCTTCGAAGTCATCTAGCGGGTGGGAACAGCAGGTGTTGGTCCACATGTCGGGGAAGGTGATTTTCTCCGTAGCGCGCTGCTGGAGAAGAAGCTTCCCATCGTTCGGTCGAAACACGAACGCAGAGAAAGCACGGTGAAGTAGTCCCTTGTTGATGTTCTCCATTAAATGGCCTGCATAGGTCTATCAATGCAACGAACATGCCCGTTCCTACGGACGAACATACAGGTCTTCTTGTCCGCTGCTCCGAGAGCTCTGTCCTGCTCGTCCACCAGAATACATCTCTCGTCCATCAGTTTAGACTGCTCTGGATCATACTTTGAGAGGTCGATGGTGGAGAGGATAGCACGAGAGGCCTCAACGGCGGGGGAAGACATTCTGCGGGATGAGCTAATGGAACGAAAGGGAATGAAGCTCATATAGCGTCTCATATGAGGGTGATATCGCGGACTTCATGACAGGGAAAATGATGCATCGTATGAGCCCACCCGGAAAATGTGGCGGCAAACTGAGCGTCTACAAGTCCCAACTATGATGATGATGATGGAATCAGCATTTATATACCGCAACAAGCAAACAAAATGTGCTAAGACGCGGTGATAACCGGTCCGTACAAGTAGAACTAATACGACTGGGCTACTTATCGCTATCGAGGCTTTCAAGGGTGCCGGTACTCTATGCTAGGGGAGGGAGTAGGTGTAGAGAAGCGTTGTTGTTCTCGTGGTACAAGTTCCAACTAATCTCCCCTAGGCAGCCTTAAGTTGCGGCAATGTCCATTTGAAAGATGCGGAATCGCGTTTTTCATACTTTTGTGCTCCACACCAAGACCCCAGGGTCGCCAGTTGACGCTCTACTTACACCCTGGTTCCAGGCTCTCCTTGTCCGCCTTTCTCTCAATTTGAATTCCATTATTATCTGTGAGTACCAGATTTCGTGGAGACGATAAGCACCGTGTCATGTATATGGGTGCTAATAGTACAGTCATGGTTGAAATGGGGATATTTTGAGTGCTAGCATGTTGGATAGGCCCTGGTCAGTGAATGTAGTAGATGGCCTTGGGATGCCCTCACTAATCGGCTCACTCACTGTGCTAGCAAGCCTTCTCCGTCTCTGGCCGACGCCCCGGGCTCGCCATGACGCCTTCGTCTTGCTCGTCACTACGCCCGGCGGCCACGTCGACTATGGCCACGCCGTCGGTCAAACTCTGCAGCGCGTACTCGGGAGTACGCGGCTCGCAACCTTTCCCCGCACGCTGCAGTCACCTCCATCAACATTTCAACACCCGCGAGCTTCTCCGCTGTTGGACGTTTGCGCGACTGCATCAGGCGCGCGTACAAGATAGGCTGCAATGGCGACGCGGAGGGGGTAGCAGCGGTGCGGCAGCGCTGGGACTCGAGGTACGAAACATGACTCGTTTTAATGAACAAGAGCCTGTTGAATAATTTTAATCTTTGTGTATACGGGACGAGATAGCTTGAACAATGATTCCCTCACCACACTCCAGGCTCCTGAGATTTATATGTAAAATATCTCCAGCGCTTGGAGCAGCCGTATACCAGGAGTCACCACCAAGTAGATATGTATCATCAGGTCGAAGCATAGAGTATCAACCTACATTGCGGATCTACCGCTTGGCTTTCTTCATGGTCCTTCGCGCGCCCTTCTTCTCCTTCTCCTTATCCACGTGCCTTCTCTTCCCTTCGTTCACCTTGTCGCCGCCCTCGCCCTCTTCCGCTTTCCGCTTCTGGCTCGTCACAGCCCCCGTCGCCTTCACACTCACTACCGTTGACTTCCCCCCACCCCCGCTCGCCAGGCGCGCAACCTGCGCCTCCGCCGCGCTCCAGTCTGCCACTGAGCCGTCGTCGATTGCGTACCTACCCCACCAGAGACGTCCTCATCAATCATAGTTTCGCAACCGCACCACCCCAAAACACGGCAACTCACTTGCTCAAATCCAGCGACCCGATCATTTCGCGCTGTTTCTCTCGCAGCGCCCGTGTCGCCTCATCCCCCGCATCCTTCAGCTCCGCCTCCAGGCTCGTCTCCACCGGCTTCCAGTTCGTCGCGCCGACGCCGCCATCGACGCGTGTGGCCGCCGCTGTTGCAGTAGACGCGTCCGCGATCTCCGCACTCACGGCGGCGCGCTGGACGTCGAGCAGCCGCTTGCTAATCTTCTTGATAACCTTGGCGAATAGCGCCAATGCCTGCGACACGGGGACCTGCAGTTCCGCCTGGGCGCGCGGGGCGATGACGATAGATTAGCGGAAGGATGCATGTGCAGCGGGAGGACGCACCTCAACTTCCTCGATCGTCTTGCGCTGCAGCCCCAGCGCGAGCAGGATCGAGCTCTGTACCGCGCTCAGGTGCACGTCATCCCCGAGGCGCTTCTCAAAATACAGCGCGGCGACCGTGGGGAGCAGGTCCAGTACGACGTGATAGTCTAGCGTGTTGTTGGCATATGACTCCAGGCGCTTGAGGTCAAACGGCGAGAGTAGCATAGACAGTTCAGTATTGTAAAGCTCTGACAGGCAGACGGACGTCAGTGAACAGGAGCGGAGAGCGGAGAGGGCATACGCACCCTTCGCGCTATCCTGTGCGAGTCTTTTCGCGCCATTGTTCGCGGCTTCCAGAATGCTCAGAGCGGTGACGCTGCCGAATTCGCGGAACTTGAAGGAGAGCAGCGAGAGGAATCGCCGGCGAAAGTCTAGCAATACAGTACCACTCAGTATTCAGTTTCCTCAATGGAATGGAGTGCATGATGTACCTTTCGCAAACTCTCCGAGCCATTGCAGCTCCTCATCCGTAGATGTATTCAACCCGCGAACCATCACGCATGTGTGCTCCCCGGTGAGCTCGCTGGTCGTCTGCCGTACATACAGGGGTACATATCCCGCGCGCTTCCAGAACCTGGATTAATATCATAATGTCATACGAGACGGAAACGGAGCCGGACAATGGATGTACCTGAGCAGTTGGGGCGTCAGACCGTACGATACACCAAGATAATCGAGCATCTCGGGCTTGCGCTCTGTGAGACGTCGTAAAAGCGGTGGCATCGCTGTGGCTGAGCGGATCGTTGGAATGTCTGTTAAGAGTGTTGTTGCCTGTACAATCAGAACATTTAAAAATGGATTCGCAAGAAGACAGTCTCGAAATTCGAGCCTACATCATCTATCACAGCCGGATCCGGATAGGATAACTCGGGCTGGGACACCTCATCTAGATTGAAGTACTCCCCGCTGTAGAACGAGTTCAGCGCCTGCAACGCGCGAGCTCCGTAGCCCATCTAATCACCATGCGTCAGTCCGTCGCAAAACCCACGACATACGAAGGGAAACACCACCCACATTCGCATAATCTGGGTGCGTTGCAATTCGGACGATGCGCGCGCCCGAGAGCTGCGCAAATCGATTCTCCTGGAACTGTTGCGCAACCAACCAAGGTATCATGTCTCCACCTGCACGGAATCCACGACTGAGCCCGTCCAGGATCGCCTGCCGGCTGATGTTCCCTTCCAGTGCGACCTGCAACACAACAAGCGGCTCCGGAAGGCGGCTCTCGTCGTCCTTGATAGGCGGGAGGAGCACGAAGAGGTGGTGTGCGGGAGCGTCGGACAACAGTTGCAGGTCGTTTGGCTGGTTTTTGTAGTGGCTAGCCACGTACAACGCCATCATGCGCTGGAGGAAGACCTCAGATGCGGGGTGGTAGCTGAAGAGGGTGTCGCGCGATACGTAGAATAGTTCACACTGCGACGGGTGCGGTGTGCTGTGCACGCCCTGCGACGGAGTAAGCGTCGCATCGAGACAGAGCAGGCCGTTGAGCCATTTCTCGACTTTATCGTCTGGCGCATACCGAATGGGTGTCTCAAGTTTGATTTCGCGCAGTGAGCGCGCTTTTGGTGGCGCTTTTGCAAGTACTTTTTTGGAAGACGAGCTAGCGGCGGTGGTGCCATCCTCTTCGGGGGCGGCATCTTTTGTGAGAGATGGACGGGTGTTCTCGCGTAGCTGTTGGATAAGTTTAAGAGAAAGGGAACGGCCTGTGCCTTCGTAGCCGTTGATGGTAGAGGCCATGAACACAAGGTATGGGCCCAGGAGGTTCCGGACGAGAGGTAATGGGATCGCAGCAGCCTCGTCGATGATGACCAATTCCGCTTGCCCTAGAACATGGGCATCTTGAGGTTGTATATACTATTTATGAGTGCATTAGTGCAATGGTACCTGTCGATGACATGTACCTACCTGGATAGTTTGTCTATGTTGCCTGAAAACGTTCACCCGGACGATCGCCTTATTGAAGTCGGGATTCGTACTCTGCGCGATATCATAATCAAGGTGCTCTTCATAACCCAACACGTCCATCCCCTTGAATATAAATTCAAACAGCGTCTTCAAGTTTTCCGGACTAGGACTCGTCACGAATATATTCGAGTATCCGTGCGAGAGTGCAGCAGCAATTGCTAATCCAAGGGCAGCAGATTTCCCGCGGCCCCGAGCAGCGGTCAGTGCAACGGTCGATGAAAGTGTCTTCTCTGCAATGGCATCAACGAACGTTAGGATCGCTTGTCCCTGATCAATTGTCTTAGCCAGCTTGACGAGGTCGCCAATTGGTTTCGTATCCGCCAGACTGTCTTTGAGATCATTCAACTCGGACTCGGCCTTACCTTTCCCGCGTTCCTCTTCGAGGGGTACGATATCTTTGCCGCGGGATAACGGTAGAACATTCAGCTCGTCATCCAGTACTAAGCAATCTTCGCAGGAGCCCAGGGAGAGAATGAATCGCTCATTGAAGCGAGCAACAACGGTATCGTGAGCCGACGTTCTGTATCGAGCGTGCACGTCCTGACCGACAGTCGCATGTTTGAAACGCCAAGGGTCATGACTGAACTAGGGCTCACCATTGTCATCGTATACAGTTGTCGCAATGATGCCATCGTTTTCAGAAGGATCACAACCAAACCACCGCCCTCTACTGTTTCAATGGTACGCGCCAATAGATTTGGCGTGATCGCCTCGAAGTCCTGTAGCACACACATGCCGTACGTCTGGCCCAAAATCTTGTGTGACTCCTTGTAGAACCTGGAGACGTGTGATAAAGGAGACGTACAGGAACATATTCGGTACTTACGTATACCGGATGTCGGTCACAGTGATGAAGATTTCGAACGGGTCTTGCTCATTCGGTTCCCGTATGCCGCGCTTTACATCTCGTTTGATCTTGGCCTCTCGCTTCTTTCGGTGACTGAAAATCCGCTCAGTTGGCTTTAGATGGGGCAGAGAATCATACAAGGGGAGAAGGAGAAACGTGGATGAATGTCATACAGAACGCTCAGACAAATTGTATTTACCAAAATCGACGAGATGGGTACAAGATCGCATTGCAAAAGATCAAGATTTTTATGGAGGAAAAATGGGTCTCTCACGTCTCCCTCCTCACCGTGTGCTCCCAGTCAAGATACAGGCACTCACCTCGTGAAGCCCAGCTCTTTCTTATAGCACCATAAGACAGATGGTCGGGCAGATACCCGAGCTTGGGATAGTAGGAAGTGCAGATTTACGATCTATGCAATTAAGTACACGCCCTGCGAGGTGATACGTGAAAATGAACGCACCTGGTCCCTTCCCTTGTCCCCGACTAGTACTATGAACGAGCGGTGGTTCTTCTTGACATTGTTGTTGATTAAGATAGGAAGACGCGGATCTAGCTGCTTGCGCATAGGTTCAAGAACAAGTCGTTTGCAAACTAGACGGGTCTCAGAAGAGAGAATAGGCACGAGAGTCTTGCAGGAGTGGGGCGGCTAAATGCGCAGATCAACGACTAAATTTCGCCGAGATGTCAGTGGGCGCTTAAGAGCATCTTTCTCCGGTTCGACGGCCCACCCCCGGGCCAGTTCGTTCGCCGATATGCACGACAATACCGTCATGGTCTCAAGTCTTACTTCAAATTCCCTCATGTTTGCCCTTCCCGGTTCGGTTACAGAGGAATACGGAGAGCAAGCGTCGAAGACATGACTTTATAACCTACCGAGTATTTATGCTAGTGAATATTTTAGGCGAAGAACCGGACAGTGTATCTGAAGGTGTAAGAGAATCACAAGGTTTCGGCAATTGTTGTCAATATATGCATGGCATGCAATGCGCTGATTATAGGTAAGTAAACTATATTCAAAACTCTGGGTTGCACTTTGCATCTCTATTGCCAGCTTTATCAATCATTTACTATGCGAGGGTAACGTTGTCATCGTGTGCTTAATGCGCAGGGTGCCACACGGTCCCTTTTGAGTAAGTTTTCAAAGGCCTCTTGTCGTGAAATCTGTCCAGGAAACCATGTTATGCAGATCTAGAAAAAAGGGAGCGGGCTACACTGTCGGCATCACAATGTAGGCAGCCAAGGACTTAACAGCACAAGAAGAAATTGGAAGTTAAAACGTTGAACGGAATGCTCTTGCAAGCTTCCGATATCCGTATTGCAGCGGGTCGCATGATTCTGGGTCGGTGTGGTGCGCCCGCGGATGGACTGAAGAAAGCTTTGTGAAAACGCTGGTACCGAAAGTCGCTCGATCTCCTGCCTTCGCTGCCACCACCATATCTTCGCTACTTCTCCATGAGGGCACATGAGGACATGGTCGGACAGTCGACCGATGAGTATGCGCGACCATCTCATCTACAACGGGCGAGAAGATCTGGAAATTATACGTGATATTTATCTCACCAACCCAAACCATCCATCTCGCTTCCTGATCGGAATTGAAAGCGAAGATTTCATGCACCTGATCTTCACGAAAAGTTACATAGAATATCCACCTCCAGATCGACGCAGGGATGTCCCATATTCAGGGTCAACCTGTGGCGACTTATATTATACCAGCGGGTTTTAGCCGGTAGCAGATTTCAGAAATTCGAACACAGTCAGTTAGTACGTGAACGCCGTCGTCAAATCCGAAATCGAGACTGATTGTTCGGTATAATATGAAGCAGGTCAAGTGCCAGTTGAAATGACCCTGGAAGTACAGACATGCGATTTCATACGTAAGTAGATGCTGTGACCCTCGAGAACGGTAGTAATGCCGTATAATGCGTGGTCGAGGCGGAGGACGAATGAGATTCAAGTAAGCTAATTGATTTCGATGCGCAGGGATCCATACGGCTCATCTTGAGTAACTTTCATAAGGTCTTTCGTTGTGAGCACTATTGGGCAGCCATTCGGTGCGGCGAGCACAAGAAAATGGGAGCAAATCGCAATGTTAGCATATAAACGCAGCCGCAAGCGAAGGATCAGATCACACTAGTAGAAATCGAGGACACACCTAAACAATGATAGAATGCAGCCGCAGCAACATGGGGCGTGCTAGTCACTTTAGGTACCACATCATCAAAAGTCAGCGTGGAAGTGGCAGACGGAAACGTCTGTAGCTGCATTTTAGCATATCTAGAATTTGTATACGTAAACAAGGTTAAAATCAGTCCACGGCGCGCTTTCTTACTCGAGGAAATTGAAAGAGTGGCGCTCCAGAGCCATTATGTTAAGATCGGATTGCTGACTATCGAATGCTGCTGGGTCTTCTCCCGGAACTGCCGGATAATATGTCAGAACAACACATTAGCAGAAGGGTATTTGGGATCACTCGCTTTCGAACTCAAACCCTTCCCTACTCTGCGAATGCCTCACGCCGAAATCAAGAGGAGAACCTTGAAGCCTGCCAGGTTGTAGTGAGCTTTCCCGCCTGCTGCTTACAGAGCTCCCCCTCAGCGCAGTATCAGCGCGAGTGAAGCTTTGTCTCATGCTGCCAAAGTCGAGAGAAGCCCCGTTGACAGATGAACTAATTCCAGCGTTGTCCCAGGGAAACAAGGCGCTCTTCTGGGAACCCGATAGGAAGTCTGGACCGGGGCCACCTATTTCAAGTTGGCCGCCAAACAATGAAGGAGGTCTGGAAATATGACGCGCTTGACCAGGCTCCTAAAGCCGTATCACATGTCAGTAGTGCACAGGATGAACTTTTGAAATACGGACTTCGGAGGAACGCATTCTTGAGTCTAAGTCCCATGTTGGACCTTCCTGCACACCTTCTGCTAATGGCTTCGGACATCAATGTATCAGAGCATTATCAAATTCACGCACGGTGGTCCATGTCATTCAGATCATCAATCATGAACCCGGTGTCGACATTATTATTGTTCTGCTCGTTCAATCTGACCTCTACTTTGTTGACATAGTCCTCGTCGCGATCCTGTTCATTGAGCCGCCTGCGCTTAGCGGGAGGCTCTGCGATGATGTGAGAGGTATGCTTCTTGATTGCTACGAGACTAACTCACCCTGAGACTCTATATGCAGCGTCCCTGCTTGAGCTTCCACCTGCACCTTGAAATTCTCCGTCCAGAAGTCGGCAAGAATGGGCGCGTCAACTGGTTGATATTCACATGTTTGAGCAACTAGATTGCGGACCCCAATGTCATCTCAACTCACGGCCACGCGGTACACCCCATAATATGTCCTCAATTAATTTTCCGCTCTCCTTTTCGATCCTTTTCTGGGCAATGTTCCGCCGAAGTGTGTCTTGACCCTCCAGATAGTTTTCACGGGCTGCCTGAACAACCAATAAGTTCGTCACATTGTGTACATCGGCAAAGTAATAACAAAACATACTTTCAGCTCCTCGTCGGTCAATTCAGTTCTAGCATCAAGTAAGAGCCTAACGCGCTTGGCCTTCTTTTGTGTAGGCGCAGTGGGAGCCTCATTATTGGATGCGCCTAATTGTAAGTCATCGCTGACATCTTGGTTGGGACCCAGGGGCGAAAGTTGCACAACAACCATATCATCTTGCGATGAATCTTTTCCCCCGTCAGTTCTCGTCCATATTATGGGATGTCGGAACAAGCAGACCTCTGGCATCATACGTCTGTATCTAGAAATTCGACGATAAGTGGACAACTGATACTCCCGACAATAGAACGTCAGCCGACCTCTCTACGCTGTGAGACATTGTCAGCTACATGATTTAGAAGTCCTCCGTTGTCAAGATTCTCGAATTGGAAATCCATCTCCAGGGCGCCATCTGCTGGATCCATAAAGGGATCCACATCCATCCTAGATTTCGATGTGATTAATGCCCTATGCAGAGGTGCATGGGTGTGCTTACCCATTCTTGCCCTTGTCCGGAGAGGCACCCCAGCCTTCTCCTAATTCTCTCGCCAGTTCATCGCCGATCTCTCTACTGAAGTCTATACCTTCCGGCAAATCGAACAAGTCATTGCCAAAGCCAAAACCACCCTCAGTATTCCCTGACGAGACTACGATACCCCCGAGACCACTACCGTTGAACGATGCATCGAAAGACCCAGAGAATAAATGCTCGTAATTTTCTTCTAGGGTGTGCAAATTGACTCTTGGGTTTTCGCTCAGGGCAGAAGACGGCGGCCTTGTTTTTGCCTTGGCCTTACCCTTTGCTTTATGCTTACCCTTCTTCGTAATAGGATCGAATTCATCATCAGATTCTTCTGCGTCAGAATTCCCTCTGTCTATCGGCAGAATGGTACAACGCATCAGTCGTTTAAATGACAGTAGCACACACAGACGCCAATACCTTGAGCACCGTCATCCCAATCCTATGGGCAGTAAACATGTGAGTGCGTATGAGCCGCCCTTACAGAACTCAGACATACTCCAAACATAGCGTCAAAATTCAAGGCGAAAGCAGTCCCAGGATCCTCGACAATAGTCAGGATGTCAGGCCTGTGTTTGTGCGGAGCTGAATGTATTTTCCGCGCACAATCGAGCCATAGACATACCGTAGACTGGGCTGTCCCATTTGCAGACCAGCGGAACCCTCTGTGGAAGAATGCATTTCGTGTACAACTTTCTTGAGCGAAGTAAAGCACGTGGTGACATCAGTTAGAAATATTTCCTGCTTGACTGTGAATAACAAGTAATGAGCTGCACGATCCTTGCGAGTTCGTTTAGTTCACCACCTTTGTACACTCTGTATGGTATCAATCAGTTTACATGTGGGCATATATGCGTCGATAAGACAATGGAACACCTACCGAGCGACGCCAATCATGAGATTGCTAGATAATCTGAGAGCAAGAGGTTCAGCAGGCTCTGCAATCAAACCACATAGTTGCGCGATGTCAGCAGTTAGAACAGAGCGTTTCGGCAATTTCTTGAAGGACGATTTGGCACCGAGAGTAGCAGCTAGCCTGTGGCAGGACAGTGAGTCCTGTGTTTATATCACCAATGAGCGCACATGGCGATACCAGAGTAGACCAAACCCGCTCTCTCGCTTTTCCAAGAGCTCCGGGGTGAAAAACATTTCGATCGGGGTCACTTGAGGCTATGGTGCGCAAGATGGGACAATCAACTAGCACGACGAGAGGGGGCGGGGACTCACCAAGTGCAGCGTCCTGGGGATGAAGAGTAACGCAGTGCAGACGGGGGCTCGCAAAAAGAAAGAACGCGCAAGGGCGCCTTCCTAATAGAGGCATATGTATACGATTGCGGAGGAAATGAAGAAGTACATGGGGCGGGAGACAGCAACAAACACAGATCGGACGTACGACAAACTCGAGCAGCAGACGCTCGGTGCCATCAGACGTTGGCCCAGCGGCGTCCTCCCCACGCCACCAGTCGCGCGAACAGCTCGTTCCGCGCACCCACCCAGAAAAACTTCTCCTCCCGCTCTTCCATCTGCCCATTCAACCCTGCGCGCGCCCATTGAACATTCAGACCTCGCATTGGCCCCGTCTTTTTGACACTGCGCACATCCGCAAGCGGAATGGACAGCTTCGCACTAGACGAGAGCAGCGAAGTGAAGTGAAACGTATCCGATGTCAACGTGATCAAACCCGATGATTTAGCGTATTGAGCAGGGAAGGCTGACCGCGGCGTGAGTATCAATAAGACCACTACGAAAACATCACTTACTGTACGTTTGAACTCGCAGTGGCGTCGTATCACGCGGTAAGGCTTCCTTTGGCGCGAGAGGATTCAAAGCCATCCAATTTTCCGGCCGCTTCCACTGCTTAATGATCAGAAAATGCCGAGCGAAAAGCGATCGTAATCACTTGTCCGTCCTGGAACATCTTTTTGACATTCCCAGTATGAGATTTGGTTGCCGCAACACGATTTCCCCATTTCTTCCAGTCTACCGCAGAGCTGGATCCTGCTTGAGACGATCCTTGGGATTCCTCGCCGCGAAGCGAAGAGATCTCCGAGTCTCCAAATTGATTGTCATCCTTAGAAGAGCGCCGTGGTTTAATATCAAGCCCAAGGGCTACTCGTTGCGAAATGAGCTCCATAGCATAATCAGCGTCGGTCGGAACGTCATGCAATGGAATCGGCATTCTGAGTCAAAATGTTAGTCCGCATAATACCTGTTCAGTGTAGAATAGCCCACCGAGCGCGGTCTTCAGGTGGAATAGCTGCTACGATAGGAACGACGTGCCAGAAGCACATACCAAAAGCAAATCCACAAATTTTGACAAGATATTTCGCGGGAAGCAGAGTAAAGAAAAAAGTAGCGAAAAGAATCTGAAACAACGTTAAGCTCAGTCATCAATGTATGATAATGACCTCGTACCATTCCACACAGTAGGGATGCTGACGGCTTCCGCCACAAGAAAATACTGTTCAAAAGTCAGATGAAATCCCGTTCTCAAGATCCCTACGCACTTTTTCACTCGTTCATGCAAATCCGCGAGGTGGTTGAGGGTTGACAATACGAGTTGTTTGGGGTCAACGTCCTGCGCTAGGGGAAGATCTTCCACTTCAACTTGAGCTTCCTGAGTGTCCACTTCGCTTGCCGCAGCCATTGGGACTATGCCTTGCATTTTGCTCTTAGCGACCTTCTTCTGCTTCCTTGTACGGTTCATTTCCTTGAAAAGCTTCCACACATCTTGGACATCGTACGTGGGCGATGCAGCAAGGCGAGATGTAAGTGCTACGCTGAGCTCGTCTGCCCGGGCAACTTCACGCCGATGATTGCGAATTTCCCCTAGAGTCGGGAACGGATGCAGCTTGTGGTAAATAAGAGAATACAAGAGTCTCAATATCAACGAGGGCAGGAGGAAATTGTGATACCATAGAAACCAATACGCCTATGATCGGGCGGGTCAGCATCTGCACCTACTCGACATGGGAGAGCCGATCTGCGAGGGAGTGGACTGACGAAGCAGTAATAACGGCTCGTCTGCGTGTCCTGCCAGGTGGCCAGCTGAATCAGGTGCATAACCATAGGACTATCCATTGAATTGAATGCTAGAAAATTCCGCTGAACAGCAAGTTGAAGTCGCTGAAGAGTGAATGAGGGCGGAGGAGGGGAAGCTGGAGGTAAACGGGGGACTACATAATCCTGGGATGCTGCATGAACGACCATGCTCCTCGGGCCAAAGCAGGGAGTCGTATGCTTACTAAGGCAATCTGCTCTGAAATGCTACGCTCCTTCGTGGATTGTGAGGGCGTATAGGGAGGCGGAGTTTCAGAGGGAGTAGTCGCGGATTGCTTCAAAGGCACCCAGTCGCCAGTCTCTTCGGCCTCCAGAACGTCGGCACCGGAGCAAGGAAGCTGTTCTTCAGTCTGAACAGAAGATGCCTGCTGTGAAAAATTTGATACCCTAGCTTCTCGGACATACTGACACGATGGAGTTATACTACAGCGAGCTATCGAGTTGTGTTGAATTATGACTTACGGCAGAGAAGAGATGCAAGAACCTGTCTATCTCTTCATCTTCAAGCAGCTTTCGCAGCTGTACTTGGGTTAGATTCTCCTCAGGGTCGTCTTCTAGCGAGCTAGGTGGCTCAAATGCACCAGGAGCGGGCACACTGACGTCTAGCTCGTCCGGAGCTGGCATACATAGGGACGGTTGGGCCGCAACAGCCGGCTCCGACACACGTTGCCTAGGGGGTAGCTTGGGAGGGACCGGGCGACTAGCATCGCGCATGCTTGCAGAAGAGGATTGGCTGCTGCGTGAAAGGCGTGGATGAGTCGGCGGGGGCAAGTGCGGCTGTGAACATTCAGTGTCCATATTTCCTTCTTGTGAATTGTATTATTCTCAGCAAAGACTAGGATGAAATGACAGAGTGGGTCTCGTGTAATAAGTACGAAGCGTGCCTCCAAGGCCGTCATGGGAGGCCCAATCCGGGCTATCGCAGCAAATTCAAATTGGGATGTGGCGCTCAAAACTCATCATCAGTCGTGCGGCATTTCCCCTCAACTTGGACTGCTGGTTGTAAACAAATTCCAGTTCGAAAAAATCGTTCTCATGTTACAGACAAATTTGCCGTTGAGTGAAGTTCTCTGAAGTATCTTTATAGGCTAATCCATGTGATGATAGTACTATCACATGAACCGTTAGCTTAGCGCTATAATCCACAGTCTAGTGGAGCTGGCTCCTTAGTCCCTCTGCTTAAATACAGAAACTTGACAGACCTAGCTTCAGCCTATAGTAACCACCTACTTCATGAATCAGTCCAGATACATCACTATGTTCTCTATGTAGTCATCAAAGTTAACTAGTTATCTGCGGAGAATGTCAGTAGAATATGATGATACAAAACGCTCAAAATAGTAGATTATGTCATAAATAACATATAAATATTCTCACAACCGTTCTTACAATTAGCACTCCAAGCAGCACTATGAGATTATCAAATGACTATTTTGCAGTTCGGCTTGTAGGATTTCCAGTCCTGATCCTGCAATAGCCATGGTGAAATCATAATCATACCACCGTTGGAAAATCAGAATACATACTTGACAACCATTGGAACAGTAGCAAATCAACTAAAGGATGAGATGGGCAGGCAATCTCGGGAGGCAAATACAATTCACAAGCTCACCCCGTAACCTTTGCACTGCAACACGTTGCTTCATTTCAGGTTCAAATTTGGAACACTGAAAGAATCGGAATCCGAAGAGCAAGAGGCCTCCCTCCTAAACGACACGCCACAGTCTTTCCTAAAGCGCACCTCTGCCATGTGACATTTGCTTTGACAGTGTTTGGCCCTTGACGGGTACGGCCTTTGCTTCTGCTCCGGTCAAGGTCTTCATATTGGTTCCACTCCGCATTTCGTCCTACGTCTCTCAGCCTCGTTCCTCTCATAAGTACCTTAACCCCATAGTGGCGTCGCCTCTCTCCTTTGCATCCTGCCATAACTATGGCCTCCTCTTCATCATCCTCCCCAGAGATCGCTGCTGCTCCCTCTGCAACAGAGTCGCAATCCACAGTCCAATATTCTCATCTCAGCCGCGAAGAGGTGCTGGAAGAGCTCTCAAGGTACGTCAAATCAAACGTGACCGCTGACCAGTATTGAAATTGCAACTTTGCAAGTCGATTCATTCTCAATCTGCCTGAAGAGGAGCTAGCATCTCTCGAGCGTGTGTGTTTCCAAGTAGAACAGGCGTTCGTACTTCCTATACCTTTGGCTTATTGTCTATTGATTCAGTTTCAACGGTCGCAGACACTGGTATTACGAGGATTTCATTCGCGAGCAGAATCCGTCAAAATTTCCTTCCTACACATTAAAGACGTTCTCCGAAGCATTGTTTCGTGCATGTCCATTGCTGCACCATTGGGCACATGATCACGAACGAGCATTTGAAACATTTATGAAGTACAAGACGAGGGTCCCGGTGTGTGGGGCTATTATGCTGAACGATACTTGGGAGAAGGTAAGCATAAGAGTGCGGTGATACCATATATGTGGCCGCTGATTCTATGTGGCCATCTGGTCTAACCACGTGTAGTGTGTCCTTGTTAAGGGTTGGAAATCATCTGCCGGGTGGGGATTTCCGAAAGGGAAGATTAATGAGCAAGAACCTCGTCCCAACTGCGCTGCTCGGGAGGTGGGCCTGATTATCTTCTCAAGCGCTGTCGCGGATTTAATAGGAGTGTTAGGTCCTTGAAGAAACCGGATATGACTTGGAAGGACAAATTAATTCGGAAGACGTAATTGAGTTGTCTATCAAGGAGCAATCGATATCCCTCTATATCGTATCCGGTATCCCGGAAGACTTCCCGTTCAAGACCAGAACACGAAAAGAGATCAGTGTAAGCCTTATTTGTTCTACTGGCTGACTCGATTGTCTAAGTCGCAGTCTAGAAAATCGCATGGTTTCGACTTTCCGACTTACCAACATGGAAACGTAGTAAGGCTGTACCGGGGAAGTTTTACCTTATATCCCCCTTCATTGGGTAAGTTGGAATGTATGAAATCGTGCGGGGCCAACATTTATATATCCTCTAGGCCATTGAAGGCGTTTATCAATAGCCGGAAACCCCGCAATTTGCCCCGGAGAGCACGCAGATCTCAAGGCGCACAACCCAGCCAAGATCGCCATATTTCAAGTGAAGATGATTGTGGAAATCATGGGCAAGGTGATCCGATTACTCTCGATGTTAACGCGCAAGAGTCGAGCTCTCAATCGTCGTCTGCTGACAACGGAGAGCCACAAACACCATCGCCTCAGTACAGTGTTCACCCCGTTACTTATCAAACCCAAGATGCTGCTGTCGTTGCTGTTAACCCTGCAACAATGGTAGATACGGACGGAGTAGATCCTCACTTTGCGCGCTTACTCACATCATTGACGCTATCGGCGTCGGCCTCACCAATGAACGGGGATAGTAAACCTCAGCCGCCCTCGCACAAAGCACAGCGTCCTACATCTCCTCCCTTCAACACCTCTAAGTCTCCTTCCCACTCGGTTTCTACCCTGTCGTCTTCGCGGGCTATAGGCAGCGCTAGTCATCTTCCCTCCCGTACTTCTACTACGACGCCGTTAAACGCTTTCACCCAATCTCAGACTAACCCATTCCTTCCATCCAGCTCAGGTAGACCTTCTGATATTTCTGACGGCCACCTGGTCCCCTCTTCACCTGCGGTTTCTTCATCGCTCGCGACCAGCGCCGCTTCCCCAAGGCACTCTCCTCGCTTGTCGCGTGCACGTCATGGTTCGAGAATCTCTGCAGATATCTCGCCATATATGTCGCGACCCCGCGATATTCCTAAAGAGATGAAGTATATATCAATGCTGGAGAATGTTGCCAAAGAGTCAGATAAGATATCATCTCAATTGTCGTATCAGCCTTCTCCGCCCTCTGCCCCATCGCACTATACTGGCATGTCCTATAGGGTACCAGGTCCATCTGCGTCGGTGCCTCCGGGGCCCATATACAGTCGGATGGAATCTCCCGTGATATACTCATCAGCACCAGTGGCCGCGTCGATGTACTCAACTGCAGCAGTACCTCTCAGCACCATGCGGGCATTCGAATTCCAATCTTCGGAAGATCCATTCACAGTGCGCCCTCGTACAAGTGTCCCCTTCCATCAAACATCTTATCCTCCCCGCAAACCGAGTTTGAACGAGGAGAGTCTACGTTACATGTTGCCTAATATGGATCATCGTATCCATCCGCCACACCTCCCTTCTCCACCTTTTCACCATTCGGGACAGATGGGGGCTTCAGCTCATGCTCATACAAGTCACTATCCTCCTCTTATGCCTCCCGCATTTAATGTGCAGCCACAGATGCATCGACCGAATGGAGCCTCTCATCACTCAAATGCGTATCCAGCCCAACCACCCCCTCCCTCGTTGTCGCCGGTTATCAATTTATCTCAACCGGCGCAGCCTGTCAACAAAGCTCATTTATTGTCTATCCTAAACACTCCTGGTTCTGCAGCTCATGCGTTCCCAATGCAGCCTGGCCTTATGAACGGCACGGGTACTAGATGATTTATATTTGCCCCCTGCATGATGCAGTGCTTGACATATTTTGTAGCATGACTACTCGTATAGTGATTCCTGTGGCTGTCGTTCTTTCGCTTTCCATTCTACCCTCCGTCGATCATCTCCTTCGGCTACTAGCCGTAAATTCCACGCGCGAAGCTCGTCTTTGTTCAATCCGTCACTCAGCGTTGACTCGTGTTCCCTTCCTTCGTTTCGTCATGTCCGCCCCAGCTATACGATATACAATTGACTGACAAGGACTCGTCTGTTTCATCTACCGTAGCGTCCAGAATCCATACGTCTTGCGTTCCTCGCTTTCCTTGTCTATCGATATCCATTACGCAGATCCCATCTGTAGTTTTGTAGCGTAGTGTTCAGATGCCTCGTGTCCGTCGGTCGTAGCATGTTATCTCATTTTGGCTCAGAAGCATCGGTGTCGTACGATGTTGGTGATCGTGCTTAACACAATTAGATACTACGAAGTTGCAACTAATCGTTAGTGTCACGAATATCTCATACCGAGCGGGGAAAGTCAGTTGCAACCGCTGATGAACCGACATATAGGATAAGACACTGGTGACAATCACTGCAATCTATCAGAATCACCCTATGTAATCACATACTCAAGATGTAGGGGAGACTTGTTTAATTGCGGAAGATGATCCGCTAGTCCTATGGCGGTCGCAGGTGATATACCGGTAAAATGATTGCTGCAGCGTATCCGCACCGGCCGCGCATGCAATTGCTGACGTCCGACTGGTTATGGACAATGACCACGACCTATATGGACGTCACCCAACCTGACAGCTCTGAGAAACGAAGAGGTCGAGCACAGATATAGAGCGAACGTCGATAGAGGGAGCTCGCGTCAGCACTCCCAGGGACCCACCGCGTGTGTTACACTAGCAGGCCAAATGCGAGTGCGTCGGTGGGTAGGAGCGGTGATCACGGTACCCCATAATCCTGGCCAAGAAATCCGAAAGGCTCCGCATATGCGCGTCGCTGGCTGGCTGGTCCCACGAGCCTTGCCGAGAAGGAGCTGGAGTCTTCGCGTCGCCCAGCGGCCTTCTGTGACAGAGAATGATCAGGGATGCGAACGGGTCTAGAGGATAGATCCGCGGACACTGCGAATGAATGCGGAATGCTGTGAGTGGGAGCAGGACACTGGATCCGGGCATTCATACTTACCTCGCGCAGAGCCGCCGTCTGTCACATTGCGCAGGAGCGTCATCGATCCTTATATGAAACCACGCCTTCGGTACTCACACGAGGCGTGGACAAGGCGAGGGCAGCATTGCGGCAAGCCATGCCCGCGATTACAGGTAGGTGCGGGGACTGGCAGAGTCGACGTCGACGACGCTCAGCAAGCTGTTGAACATAGCAGCTTGAAGTATTCTACGATATCCGTTTCGGGCGGTGGCACAGCAAATTATGTAAGACCAAAATTGCGCCGGAAATCGTAGGCGCGAATCTGCGGACCTCTCCACCACCGCCCCAGGCTCTCCAGTGTCCCCGCACCTGCGCTCGCTCTCTTCTCTCTCTTTCTTTGTATCTTTATTCTGGTTCATGTATGCGCAATGTTCACTGGTAACGGAATCAAAATATTCACTGGTGAGCGCACGATTTATCGATTTCTCCTGAACGTTCAACTCAACCGCACAGGCACCAGCCATGCTGAGCTCGCAGAGATCATAACCCGCCGGTAGACTGTCTCTCTTACAATATTCGAGCAGCATCTCATGAACTTGCGGTTTGGTCTCGCGCAGCCTCGGGGTTCCTCTCGGCAAGGCTGAGGTGACGAAGAGCGGCATCGGTGAGACGAGCGTCCGCATCGCCGAGTCCGTCCGGGAGGACGACGTGTACATTATCAACACCGGCTGTGGGCAGGTGAACACCGCCCTTATGGAGATGTGCATTATGGTGCACGCCTGCAAGATTGCGAGCGCGAAGCGGATCACCGCGATCCTGCCGCTCTTCCCCTATGCGAGGCAGGACAAGAAGGACAAGAGCCGTGCGCCGATCACCGCAAAGCTGGTCGCGAATATGCTGCAGAAATCGGGCTGCGACCATGTCATCGTGAGTGGGCTCGCCGCTGCTGTTGCTGTTGTGCGCACCTCTTATGCTCTGATCCGTGCCGATCACTGCTGGCGTTCTGCCAGACGATGGACCTGCACGCGTCGCAAATCCAGGGATTCTTTGACGTTCCCGTGGACAAGTACGTCTCTCCGACGTTGCGCTGCTGCACTTAACTCACGAACATCGTTGGGCAGTGTAAGTGCTACGTTCGCTTTTGATTGGGCTAATCTTTATACGTGCGTTTCGGACAGCTTTACGCAGAGCCGTCGGCGATACAATACATCCGAACGAACTTTGACCTCGCGCACATCGTTATCGTATCACCTGATGCTGGAGGGGCTAAACGGTACGTCATATTGCGTGCGTGCGCTCGCTACGATAGATGCATGATGCTGGAACGGGCATAGAGCGACATCAATAGCAGACCGGCTTGGCGTCGACTTTGCGCTGTTTCACAAGGAAAGAAAGAAGGCGAACGAAGTGTCGCGAATGGTGCTAGTCGGACGCGTGAAGGGCAAGATTGCTATTTTGGTGGACGACATGGCGGACACGTGCGGGACACTCTGCCTCGCGGCGTCACACCTGTCTGAGGCGGGCGCGTCGAAAGTGTATGGGCTGGTTACGCATGGGATTCTGAGCGGCAAGGCGTTGACGACGGTGGAAGAGAGCAAGCTGGAGAAGCTGATTGTGACGAACACGCTGCCGCAGCAAGAAAACATGGAGAAGTGCACGAAGATTGAGGTGATTGACATTGGGAATGTGCTTGCCGAGGTGATTAGGCGAAGTCACTACGGGGAGAGCGTATCCAAGCTGTTTGACGAGGTGCCATACTAGAGGCGCGAGAAAGATTTTTCCCGAGCTGGGGGAAGTGTGTTTTGTAGCTAGAAGAAAATGATCATGCAACGGTTGAGAGGGAAGCGACGGGCCGAGGGTGGCGCAGGACGGGGCCGAACGGAGGAGAAGAATGGATGCGGCTGGGTCAGCAAGAAGAAGGCAGGGAAGAGAGAGGACGTAAATAAGGCAAGGCATGGGAAGGTGTAGTCATCTGGCGGCTAATCGAACAGCATCCCGGTGACAATCGAGAGACCCCCTAGTAGTAGCACTGGCACTGGCACTAGCACTGGCAGCGGTGGGGTTGCTGGCTGCGACTCGTCAACTGCACGGTCCGGCTGATGATATGAGACACCAGCCACGCGCCTCGCCCTACCCCGCGCGCCAATGCATGCCATTGCTCCCAGCGATCTGCAGGCAGGG